CCCTAATTTGAATTATGGTATAGAAATGATAATTTGGTATGCTTAAATGTAATAAACACAAACATTAAACATTGAGGGTAATAAATTTTGATATATGGTATAGATAGGTAAAAATCCCTATTATAGTTACACCCAGTATATATCTTTTTTATTTAAATTAGAAATTACAAAATACTTTTAGGATAATTTCGTCTTTTCTTGAAGAGATAACTTTTTATTTACGTTTAGGATATATTTTGTTTTCGGTAAAAAATGTTTTGATACTTTGACATAAAACAAAAAAAGGTTAATGAACATTTTTCAAAGGATCAAATTAACAATAAAATATTATTTTGCTATTTTTTGGTTATCAGAAAGGAAGAGAAAGTTTCCAAAGGCTCTTCAGCAATTTCAAGAAAAGAATTTCATAACAAAAACAGATACATTTCCCTTCTTACGCAATTTTGTAGGAATTAAAATTGAATAAAATTTCCTAACTATTTGTATAGTCTAAAATACGATTCTTTTGGGGGTAAAAAGGTGTAGAAAAAGTCAAAGTTGTATAATTAGTAGGTTAATTCTTCTATAATTATAGTAAACTTCAAAAGTTCTAAATATATTAGGATATCTTAAATAACTCAAATAAAAAACATTTAATAACCAAAATTTTAGTTGATTTCAATTCAAATGACTATTTTGTCTAATGTGAACTCTACTTTACAATGATAAAAAAAGCGAACGATATTTTGCTGAGGGCTTTCGTGCTTTTAATATAATATATAGAGTATAGATTATCAAACGAAAATCACAAAAAATATATAGTCATTTTTACATTTTAGCTTTGGTTATAAAACTAATGATTTTACTAGTTTACATTGGTAAGATAATTAATTAGCTAATTGATAGAAAATAATAGTAGTAAGTAGGTTAATTTTGCAAAATAGGCTTAATTTGGAATATGGAGTTAAAATGGCTACGGTTTAAACTTGATTATTTGTTGAAGAGAGAAGGGAAGGGCAGCTATTTGGGCCAAGCATTTTCGGCAGCCCAATTGTCAAAATCCGCCCTATTTTGGGCCAGCCCTATTAGTAAGCAGCTTTCCCCTCACTCAAAATATAAAAACCCTAGCCGTCACCCCCTCCCTCTCCTTCTTCTTTCTTCACACACACCAGAGAAACAGACTGACACCTCATTTTCTCTAAGCGAGCTGCCGCTGCTTTCTCCCTCCTCATTCCGTCCTTTGTTCGTTCTCTTCACTTCACCCACACACTAATCTCTCATGGAACAAAGCTAAAAAGAGTTCTGGATTCAAAAAAAAAAAGAAAAGAAAAATCCGAGTTCCAGATTTGAAAAAGAAAAAGAACAAAAAAAATTCCCATAAACAAAACGAAACAAAACAAATGATCAAAAAGGGAATTTGAAGCTGTTGGATTGAAGAGCTGTTGTTTGTTGCTGGACTCGTTTGCCTCAAGTTGCTGAGTTTCAATTCTACAACTTCCGACCTTCATTTGGTTGAGTTCATTCGTTTTTCTGCTATTAGGTATGTGAATTTTCATTTGTTATCCTTCATTTCGAGCTTGGGAATAAAACACGAGTTGTTCATATTCAGTGTGTGATTGATCTTTTAGATCTGGTCTGTTTAGTTTCCAAATCTGCTTAAGTCTCCTTCCTTTGATTAATAACTTGAGGTCTGATTAATAATACACGTTTCATTTAAATGCAAAAAAACAAAATTGTTAAGTAATGGTTGATTAAATTGATACGGTTTGTTGTCAGAACCCGTTTCCTAAAAGCAGTTATTCATGCTTAAGGTGAACTTACAGGATTAAACTAATTCCAAGTGGGTTTTGTTTTGAGCTGTATGGTTAATGATAGTTGTCTCCTTGTGAATTTAGAATCTGTTAGGGAAATAGAAAGACATAAGTTGTAATTGCTTCTGTAGCTTAGTTAGAACGTGAAGTATGTATTACTATTTGGTCATTGTGATGGGTTTGATGCATCTACAAAGTTATTCATAAGTGTCAAGGACAAAATAAAAAGGATGGGGTTCCAAAATGTTTACTGCTGTGTTTCATTCGTCAGGAATAGGCCACTGGTATCGTTAATTGAAAGAATATAATTTTGTTAAGCCTCTTTCTGCCATGATTTTCAGAAGAAATTACATTCTTAGCGTAATGTCTATATAAGGTATTGAGCTGTGTATAATATATGCGCTTACTAACTTGTTTCTCATTCACAGTGTGGCACTTGTTACTTTTTCTTTTTGATCCTTTAGTAGTACCACTATATGGTCTGAAAGTGGAATAGTTATATACTCGCATATGATTTTAAATTTTGCATTTTGGTCTTCACAGGCTATTGATTGACCTTTCTTCGGAATCAGATAGATGGTTGCTTTCTAGTTCAGTTCCCTGTATAGCAGAATTGAGAAATGAGTTTGATTTCACGTCTGAGGCATCGTTTGCCTGGTGTACTCTTGAGACAATCGGTTCGATCGAATGTAGCTGACTCCTGTTTCATTACCTCATCTGTGTTTACTCGACACTTTTCTCAGCCTGCCAGGAAAGAGGAGGAAGACAAGGAAGAAGTAGAGATTGACCAGAGAAAGCTTCCGGCTGATTATGATCCTGCAACTTTTGATCCTACTGAGCATCGTAGTCCTCCATCCGAGAGGGTATGGAAGCTTGTAGATGAAGTTTCAGGACTAACATTGGTTGAAGTTGCAGAACTGTCTTCCATTATTATGAAGAGGTTGGGTATGACTGAGCAACCAATGGTCGGTGTTATGAAGGCAGGAGCTGCTGGATTGGCAGCAGCAGCTATGAAGGGACCGGAAGCAGCCAAGGAAGAAAAGAAACCAGAGAAAACTGTTTTTGAACTTAAACTGGAATCATTTGATGCTGCTCAAAAGATAAAGATAATCAAAGAGGTCCGCAGTTGTACTGAGTTGGGACTCAAGGAAGCGAAGGAGTTAGTCGAAAAGACTCCTGCTATTTTTAAGAAGGGGGTGTCGAAAGAAGAAGGAGAACAAATCATTGAGAAGATGAAAGCTGTTGGAGCAAAGGTTGTTCTGGAATGATAATGAACAAGACATTTGGTTTGATACTGAGTTAATCCAAAAGTATTTGAAAACTAAATTATGCTTCATTAGGCTTTGCGTTTTTGTAGTCTACTTTTCTTTCCTTTCCTGAAACCCCTCAGCTGTAGCTCACAAATAATTGTGTCCATCATTTTTGATTGACATGCTTAGCAGAAGGAATGCGACTTAGTTGTAGTCTACTCTTGTAATTGGCTGTAATACGGGATTAATGATTCTTTTCTTATGGGTGGCTGGTTTGGAAGGAAATGTGTTGTTACAGTGCTCATTGATATCTAATGCACGAAAGGCGTGAACTTTTCTCTTTTGTTTTGATATATTCTATGCAGAAAGCTTAAGCTTGACTTTATTCCTTATGCAGAATCCTTGATTAATTAATAGAAATGCTGAATGTTGTATGCAGAATGCTTAGCTAGGGATTTGCTTTAATTAGCTTTATGGTTACTCTTGTAAAGTACATTTTGTGTTGGTATGATTTCCTGGAACTTAACTATACCCTAGTACACAAAATGAGGAGGATAGCTGATGTAAACACACCCTCATCTCATGAAAAGACACAAAGTGACATTAATAGTGGGCTTAGTTCAAGACTAAAACTGACGTTGCTAGATAAGCTACTATGAGTATGTTTTCATTCGCCAAACTATTTGGGGTTAGCTATATGAGCTTTTTATGTTCATTTTACTTCAATGTGATATGTATCATTCCAATGTCTATATTTTGTCTTCTATGATAAATTAGTGGTTCTAAATCTCGTACTTATCTCTATACTATACTATACAATTTCTAAAACATATGTATGTCAAAGAGGAGATTCCTCAAAGAGAGTCCAAGGTGAACCCTTAACAATCTTACTAATTTGGCTATGTCCGTCTTCATACTGGTGTCTGCATATTTTTGCGATTTAACGTTGGAATTGGGGCTATGGTATGGTACAGCGAGTACACAACATAGCCATTCAGTCAAATATCGGTTACCAATTTGATCAACACAGGATTTTTCACAACCATCGTTAAGTTAGTCTAATATTAAAAGTTCGACATATAGACAAGACAGAGATTCAGACATGCGCTATCATGAAAATAAAGACGACAATGTTGGATGGAGGTTCGACTCAGTGGCTCTATATAACC